GACCAGTTTTTATGTGTACTATATGAATAATACTTTATAATTGAATAATATATATGTGTAGAATTTTCTTTTTTGGAATGATATGCTTTTTACTCGTATGAGGTATATCTGTGTGATCAAGTGTAAAGCTCTAGATTCTGTGCAAACTTATGAGGTCTTTGTCAGGTTCCCAATCAAGGGCAGGTTCCCTCCATCCCTTAAATGAAAACTTGTCTAGGGTAGATGCATGGCCAACACACTGTGGCCTATGGATTTTCTAGTTCCCAAAAGGGGTGGGTCGTTATTGCTCGTGGGGAATTAAATGAACTAGTCGCATCAGCTAAGCATCTGGGATAACACCCTTAATTGTGGGGAATTGATTATTGTAGTCGCACATGTGATGCATTATGTTATGGGGAATTGATTGATTTAGTTGCACAAGCTAAGAGTCTGTAACAACACCCATGAATTTTTTTGCATCGAGCCTCGATCAAGTCGGTAGTACCCTAGACTCGATGTTACTATCCACAATCACAAAGAAATAAATAATTTAATCATTGCATTATTTCATTCATAATCGATAATTTCTCATATATACGAGGAGAGTGATTATAAAACATAACATTTAATACAAATAGGAAAGAAAACATAAATCTGGCGGGATAGTTGCCACTTACTCTCCCTAGTTTTTTTTCTTATAGCTTAGTCACGTCGGTGGGTGGGCGTTCATGCTTTTGAGTTAGTCGGTTAAGGAAGCTGCATTGATCTCCATCATCGTGGCTTCTCCCTATTCTCACTAAAGCACTTGATAAACCCTCTTATATTGGGACTATAATACGGTGGGAGAACTGACTTGGGTATTTTGTGTTTTATTGCAATTGTTGCGAATAGAAGGAGTCACCACCGACTTTTCCTTTATCTAATAAAGGAAAGGGTGAAAAAAACAGGAAAGACCTTTTGAGATTTTTCTTGAGTTCGGGGGGTAGGTTATGAAAAGGGAAGGTGTTAGCACCCTTTTCATCCGTAGTTATCTACGGGCTCTTAGTTGCTAACTCACTTTGAAATACTTTGTAAATGTGCTTGTGATTTGTTTTTGAAAGTATTTTTGAAAAGTGCCTTTGTTTAGGCGAACTTTGTAATGATTCTCGTCTCTATAAGAATGTATACAAAGTGTTGAATTTTGAAAATATTTCATTGAAAAGTGTTGGTGTGTTTGAAAGATGAAATGTTTGTGAGCAAGCAACTAAGAACGTTCTACCTACTAAAATAGTCTTCGTTCTTTTCCTCCTCCTTTAGATAGTGTTATCTTACCATTAGTTAGTAAGAAACCATATCATTTGATGTGAAGGGACAGGCGTGGGTTATCGTACAGCCATAGAAGGCAACATTGTAGGATACTTTAGCAATTAGTTGTAAGGGACTAAGATCATTTACCGAAGGCAACATCGAAGGGTCATCAAGAGACTGCGATCTTGTAATCGAGGTTCTTTGCTAAATTATCTCACGTACGAGGGACATGACTGTTTTCATCTAAGGTAACAAGTGTGGGTTAACCCTAAAGGTGCAAGTGTGCAAAGTGTATCATTTTCATGCATTTGTCTTGAATTAGGGTTTGCTACTTGTTTGATTTTAAGTCTTGCCATACAAACCCTAATTACTAGCAATAATAAGGAAAGCGATAAATTGCGGAATTTAATGGTCATACACTATTACAATACTTTAGGGGATGGGGGTACAAATTACAAATGAGGATGAAAGCAATTAAAACCTAGTTACTATTACAACCAATTTGAATAATACAAAATAAAATGTACAAGAATATAAAGATAATGTAACAGAAAAGAAAATTGTTTTTTATGGTTTTGGATGGAAAAAGTTTTAACCTAATTAGTTAAACTAAATTAAATGGAAAAAAATTAATTAATTAAATTCCTAAATTCTAAGTTAATTTAAATTAAAAAGAGAAAATTAAAACAAAACTTAAATCTAAATTTATTTCAATTAATTTAAGAAAGAACATATTTTTTAGGTTTTTTTTTGTTTAAAAGAAATAAAATAAAAATAGAAATATAAAATTTAGTCTAAATATTTAATAAAATATTTTTTGGTATTTTTGATTAGAAAAAAAAAATAAAATAAAAATATAAATTAGAAGTCAGGGGTTTTTTAAAAAGATCGGGGGGTTAGAAAGAAAAATAGTTTATTTTTTGTTTTATGGCCCAAATAGTTTTTGTACTCAGAAAATAAAAATAATAAAAAAAGTATAATGGGCTGCGTGGCATGGAGAAACAGGGGGGTGATGGTGAGTAAAAATGAATGGCCCAATGTGAAAGAGGCGTAGGCGCGCTACAAATAAAAAAACAGAAAACAAGGAAAATATGGAAAATGCAAAAGGTCTCGTTGGGGCTCGAACCTAGAACCTTCTATACAAATGCCTTACGCGCGCGCTTCCTGCCACTGGGGTGGCTGTTTCATCCGGTTATAAAACATATTAAAATAAACTTAAAATAAACTAAGTCCATGAGGTCAACTTCATCTTCTTCCTCGCGCCAGCCATAACTCTGTAACTTTCTCAACTCTCAACCATTTCAGAAATTAAAACATCAAACTTGTTAGAAATTTCACCATGATTTCAAATATGTAAATAACTTAAGCAATGGATCAAAGATGATCACGGATTTTAAATGGTACCAAATTTAACCTAATTTTTTTAGAAAGTTCAGGCTCAAAATTCTCACTACTCAGGCAACATAAATGAATTCTAAGGACATGGTTAGTTTTAGGGCTATGATGTCTACATTTTATCTTTTAAAATGGAAGTCAAATGATACTTGCATGAAGAGTTAGAATTTCATAAAACTCACCTTGCAGATGGAGAACGTGTTTTGAGTTTGAGCAACCTTCAAGGTGTTGTAATGATCTGTTTAGCTTCCTTTAACCTCTAGGAAGCTAATGCAATGCTTAGCTTGAGCTGAGAGTGCCTGGAATGTTATGGAGAAATCAAGTTGCAAAGAGCTGTTTTTGAAAATGGAGGATGGTGAAGATGGAGTTACAAAAGTTATTCAGGTGTTTGAATCACTTCTATATAGTGTATAGATGATGTTTGAAGGGTTAGAATGAAAAGCGCGCGAGAGAATTTGAAGCTTGGATTTCAAAACCAGAAATGACAAGTTTTGAGGTATTTTTGGTGATTATGTGTTTGAGGAAGTTTGAGGGATTTTTCAAGATAGAAAAATCGTATCCTTGGCTTGTAAATGGAGGCTCAATTTATAGGCAAGGTTTTGGAAGCTTGGAGGGATCAGAAACAAGAGTTCGCATGTTATGGCCATTTGACTTATTTTTGAAGCAAGCTTGACAAGCATTATTCCAAGGCAAGGTACATGGCTTGTAGGGGGTAGCAAACTTTAAACATGTTTATCTGACTTTGTAGATGAATTTTATGCAGAAGAAACAAGTACAAAGCTCAATACAAGTTGACTTTGTGATTAAAGTAACTTTTCAAGAATGGCAATGGTGCCTTTGTGCCATAACTGGAAATGCAACTTGGATAATGGCTCAAATGCTTGGACAATGGCTCAATATGTTGTGTAATTAATTAATTATGGAGTGAAACACAAGTTAGAAGCCTGCAAAGTAAGATTATGCAGCATAGCTATGAGATTTGGCTAAGTGTTCATCACAAAAATGACTTGTAATTCAAGAATGGATGTCCAACTTCTTGTCTTCAATTCTCTTAGATCAAGCATGATCTCTTCAAGTTCTTGGACATTTTGGAAATCTTGAAACATCGTCTACAACTTTTATGTTTTCCACTTTTTCTAAATAAAATTGGAGCTATGTGGAAAATGGCCAAGAAGTTGGGACAAAAAATCTGCCTAAACTAGGTCAAAATTTCACTAAGTGTTTAAGAAAAAGTGCATGACTTCATGGGCCTATAACTCAAAATCTAAGCATTTTTTGGACACGAGCCCTCAAATAAAAAGTTGTATATTTTATCAAGATCTAAAACTTTAATATTGAAAGTTTTCTTTGAATCATCTTGCATCTTGGTGAAAAATTGGCATGAAGTAGTGAAGTTATCATGTACAACAACACTTAGAAAATTTTCTAAGTCTTGAAAAATTTGACTTTTCAAATTGACTTTTGAATTTCTTGATTCCTTGATGATAAAGCTTCATATTTTTGAATGTCTTGATGAATTTTGATCTTTGAGACTCAAATTTGACCAAAAAGTCAAAGTTTGACTTTTGGTGTATTAGTTGACTTTTTCATTAGTTGATCAAATTTCAACTATCAATTGTTTGATCTTAAGAAATTATTTGAAACACGAAATTAGGTAAATATAATGTAATTTAATCCTTGAGATAATGTTTCAAACCAATAAGTCATGTGTCAGATCAAAATTCAAAAATCAGTCATTCTAGTCAAAAACCCTAATTTTGACCATTTTGCTCTTTTGATGATCTGAACATTTTTCTTGGGGAATTATGATCCAAACTTGATCAATTGATAAATATGATTTCAAAATGTTGATATTAGTCAAAAATCTTGAAGTTTGACTGTAGGTTGACTATGATTGACTTTTTACCCAATACAATTGATTTTAAGTCATCTGGTCAATTAACTGAGCAAAATTGTGATTCAAGACTTGAAACTTGACATGAGTATTATTGGAGGTCTATAATGATCCATGAAGGTAATTTGAGGCATTAGAAGTCTAATTTTCCCATTGAAAAAAACCCTAATTTAAGGCATTAGTGTTTAGGAGGTGGTTTGACCTAATCAACACTTGTGCAAACTTGAGCCATTAGAGGTCTTGTGAGAAATGTCTTGAGAAAAGAGAGGGAAAATTTTGGGATACAACAGGCACCGAGTGTGACTGGATCCCCTTGCATGTTATGGTATTTAAGTTTAAGATGCACCTATGAGGCTACAACGTCTGGGGTAGTTATGAAGAGCCTTCCCATAATGAAATTATAGATGCTCCTAAATGGGACAACGAGGAACTGAAAATTAACTATTCAGATGTCATTTCCTTCACCTACTGATATCATCATCTTGACATATCCCCATGGATGATTGGTTGTCCCGTTGAATCTCTGCAAGTTCGAGACATTATACAACCATAAGCTTCCTCTTTCGAGGCCCCATCTTTTCAAATGAATCTGGATACATTATATCGCAGGAGCTACCACCATCAATCAAGATTAGGGAGACGTTAACCTGCATGATCATGGATGTAATTACCAAGGGGAAGATTTTGTTAGGAATTCCTCCCACCTTTGCAGAGTCTTGGAATCCTAGAATAGATCGGTCAGGTATCTTCACCGATGTACCTCCATATTTTTTATGGACACCCAACATCTTGAAATTTTTTCTCTTCATGGTTCCTTTAGAGGGAATGTTCGTCCGGCACACTCCTCTGGTGACGGAGGCGATGTACAAGGAGTTAACTTTGCTACCCTTTTTGTTCTCACCGCTAGTCCCTACCTCATCAATCTTCGAGGGAGATTTTTCCTTAGATGAATAATCCCTTTCTATTTTACCTTATTTTATGTACTCGGCCAGTTGACCTCTCTTGATCAGTCCTTTAATGGAATCCTTCAGCTAGATGAAATCGTCAATGTTGGGGTCGTGATCTTTATGAAAATGGAATTAATTTGACTTGTCTGTCCAATACGCCTCTCTAACAAGGTAAGGGGGTTGAGTCCCTCCTTTCTAAAACTATGTGTTACAAATTCTTGGAAGATCTTCTCCCAATACGCATTCAGCAACGTGTATTGTGGAACCTTGTTTTGCAGGTTACTAATTAAGGAAGTTACATTAAAGAAAAACATGATTTTGATGATGATAACATGTCTTTTATGACAACTAAAGTCAAGCGTAAAGCGCTTAAAGATGCAACCATATCAACAAAGTTTAATAAGGTTGACTCTCTGATGATAGCACTTAGAAAGAATATAACTCAAGTCTCATCTTAAAGTAAATTTCAAGTAAGTGTCTACAAGATAGAAATATGTGACAAAGTCTTGAAGTATGTGAAAGTTTGCCCAAATACATTTGAATGAATATACGTTGTAAAAGCATTTGAGCTTTCTCATAAAGTATATGGATAATCACATACACAAACAAGTTTCTAAGCCTATTATTCTTAATAAAATACTTTTAGAAACGCCTTGAAGTTGTGCTAGATAAGTTGGGACCTATCAGAAAATTTATGGGAAATTTTTTGTCTTTGCCAATCAATTGTGTCAGTTCAAAAATATGCCCTAATCGATTAGAACAACATCTTAATGATAGTAACAGCTAAATATAGTTTGTTACCTTTTTGAACTTATTAATAGATTAGTTTTATGCCTATTAATCGATTGGTACATGATGTCAATCGATTGACACATCAATTATGACCCTAAAACGTTTCTTTTTTTTGCCAACCTCTAGCCTATAAACAAAGGTCTCTTCCCATATTTTTTCACATACTAAAGCGTGAGCTCTCACTCCTCACCTCTCATTTTCTCTCTTAAAACCTTATTTTTACTTTCTCTCACTAAAATTTACCTGTAGTGCTTTAGAGAAAGTCGTTTTGTAAGTGAGGAAGTTGTAATTCTAGAAGGGTAGATTTGTAAATTCACCAAGGGGGTTGTTTTTAGCTTGGTTGAATAATTCATCCATTTAGGAGTTATTTATTTGAGTTTGAAGTTAAACCAGTGAAAAGCTTTGGTTTGGGGATTATGTGATCAAGCCTATATGTAGAGTCGAGATCAGCCCGGTATTAAAATCTTTAAGGTTCTTGGTTACCCCAATATAAAACCAAGTTACGTTTCAAGCTCAGTCGATGTTAAAAGCTTGTTTAGGTTCGAGATCAACCTGGTGTTAAAATCTCAAAATTTATTGGTTGTCCCAGTATAAAACCAAGTTTCAAATCACGAGCTCAACCCAATGTTAAAAGCTCTCTCGAGTTCAAGATCAACTCGTGCAAAATCTTAGTTTAAAGCTTGAAGACTAACCACTCCAAGTTTCTTGTGGAAAAGAGACTAACCGCTTTGATCAATCATTTGGAAGGAAGAATCATCGCTTCTATCCTTATTTGTTGTTTGGTTGGATGCTAGCCATAAACTTCATTTTTCTTGTATAATGGAGTTCAAGAGTTAAAACTACTAAAAGCTCTTAAGTTTTTTGGATACTCTCAAGAACAATTATTTGGGAGATGATTAAGTCTTTTTCTTTTGACCGAACCTTTATAACCTCTGGCTTTCTTCTCTTTCATTTAACTTTTACTTTCTGCACTTTACCTTCTGAATTTTTTTCCGCTGTTTAATCATAAAATCTTTCTAAAATGTTTTCAAACTCTGATTTTAATCTAAAAAGTTTTTTAATCTCAAAATTTTCTAAAATACACTATTCACACCCCCTCTTATGTGTGAAGTCACGTATCCAACATGTAGTTCTCGTACTAGTCCTTCATACCTCAGTCAGAGTTGCTCTTCTGTCTGTGGAACTCCTTCCCTGCCAGGTGGCTAGAGTTGGTGTCTATAGAGAAGGGCTTATCAAAGTGTGTGTTCATATTCTCTTCTAGGATCATGTAAGACTGAGCCATGATCAATATCTCCTAGGTGGTTCATACCTTTTTTATTCCTATCTTCAACTTGAAGGATTGTCATGTAAGAGACCATTTTTGAAGATCCAACATCTAAGGCCTTTTTCAGATTCTTCAACTTCAACAACAACCTTATTAAATCAGTCGATATAAAGTTGAAAGCTCCCCCTTCTTCCTCTGGATGATCCCACTAAAAGAATCTACCATCATAGGTTTCATTTTCTGAGCGGTAAAGTATGATGAGAACCGTTCAAGGAAACCCACCCATGATTCGATGCTCCTGTCCAGTAGGCCATTGAACCATAGCCTGATCGGCCCGACCAAATTTAATGCAAACATCTTGCATTTGGAGGCTTTATCAACATTGAAGTAATTTAGCCAATCATTGACGAGTTTCACGTACTCGTTCGGATCTCCCTTACCATTATACTCTCCTAACTTGGGAGGTTTCTTCATGGATTTTGGTATTTTTCTTTCCAAATATTGGTGCACAAAGGATGCTCCAGTTAATTCTCTGATGGTTAATTTTCCACCTGATTTGGGGAGAAGTGTGGTTGCCTCGATCTCTCTTGGGACTTTGTGGAGGACTTTGGTGCTTCATGCTATTCTTCAGATTCCTCGACCTAAGAGCTTCATCCTTCTTCGTCGCAGTTAGCTCAGAGACACATATTTGAGTCCTCCTTGATACATCTTCTTGAACCGTGTTTACACATGGAAGAGTATTGTGGAAGATTTCTTCGAGGCGAAGGAACATTTCTTCTATTGCTTTCAAATTTTGTTTCCGAACGATGTTGTACATGTTTTCAACAACTTGTTAGCCTTGCAATCCAATGTTTTCTCGCAATAGTTAGAAACCAGGTAAAACTTCAGGTTGCGCAACTGAAGGTGAAATTTAAGGTCTAATCGGAGGCAATTGAAAAAATCCAGCCATCAAAAGATTATGGAATAAATCTAGATGTAGCGGAACCTCTGCTTCCATATTCATAGTGGTTTGTAGAGGAGGTAGAGGTGGTTGATGGATAGCTGCTTGAGTTGCAGCAGTATCGATGACTTATCATTCAACATTTGAATAAATAGCTTTGGATCCAACCGTTACTTGTAAATGTAGGAATCACAGATCTAGAAATACATGGAATCAAAGTTCAAATGAAGCTTGATTAAATCGAATGCATCAAATTTCTGTGCTCGATTTTGAATTCTCTTTATTTGGTTACGCGAGAAGGTCACAAATTGACAAATCAGAGAGCAAACGTGAAATCATGGAAAATGTAGGAATCAAAATCCATTTTCCACAGACAGCGCCACTATTCTATACTAGAACCAGAAATGGAGTGAGATCAGAAGTAATGACGGACCTGAGCTTCTGGCACGGTGGAGAGGTGTCTGACCTACAAGGTTAGCACTTCAATACTCAAGTCAGTGTGTGAGAAAGAAGAGTGAATTAAAATTGAGTATGAAACATGTTACTTTAATTGGCGTCTTATGCATATATATATATATATATATATATATATATATATATATATATATATATATATATATATATATATATATATATATATATATATATATATATATATATATATATATATATATATATATATATATATATATATATATATATATATATATATATATATATATATATATATATATATATATATATATATATATATATATATATATATATATATTCAAGCATGGATCGCGAGGAGTCGTTGGATGTACCTGAAGTTCATATATCCTATGATTAGACGTAGTATAGTTCTCGTGTGTAGAGAAGATTCCAAAAGGATTGTAGTGCCTTTAGAGTGGTCGGTTGGGACTGATGTGGTCGACCCATAACAGTTCCTTCTTCGTAATACTATATTCGTGTAGATTGACAAAATAGGGCGTTTAGATGGATTAGAGGGTCGGGCGCAAGCATTTTGGACAATGTTTTTAGGTGAGTTTATCATAAGCCTGGGAACCTTCTGCTCGCCTACTCTTTTCTTGCCAAGGGTGTGATCTTTTTTTTGTGAGAGTGTGCTATTGAATTATTGAAGCTCAAACAATCCCCACTACCATATGCATTCAGATCTGACTGCCAGAGGTTTGATTTCTTGACTGCACCAGATTGGAATTTATCATGGGGAATCCATCACATACGAGGTATCTCATAAGTGTTTTCACCATCGATAGAGACTGTCAAAACATTTGGTAGTTTTGTACTCGTGATTCTTCGTATTTCTTGGTTTCTCAAACATTCTCATGCACCTCGATCTTTGTTTCCTAACTTAGTATCAATTTTCCATTGGAAAGAGGTGATCTAATGACGGAACGTCGTTGGATTTAACAATGTTGTGGATCTCAATGGTGATGATCAAATGCAGTAGAATAAAATCAAAATACCTAACTTTTTGTGTCACAATAATGTTTCGTGTGATTCATGATGCTAATCACTAAATTTCATTCAAACTCCATTTATCTCGTCGTGATATAGGAATATCTGTATTGTGTGATCTTTTCTTATTGCTCAGAGATTATTCACCATATGGAGGAGGTACTCTAATAAAAGATCTATGCTGAAAGCTATTATGGTACAAATCTCATTGATGACAAACATTTGAGGCAGTACAAAATTGGAAGTTTGATCGAGAATCTTCGGTGCAATATTGGAGGTAATTGTCTCTGATTATCAACGATTCTAGTAGGTATTCGACTTTGGATCCAAGATGATATAATCATGTAGTTTTCACGTGATTAGGAGTCAATTCCTGTAGACGGCATCATTGGTCCGTCCTGGAAC